TGAACATAAAACACCCACTACCCTTTACACAAAATAGCAGAAAGCAAAACATAACAAGAACTATCAAGAACAGTTGGAAGTAATATTGGGAAATACAGCCTCTTTCGCCCGGAGGGTCGAAAGTTAAGAAAAAAAAAAAACACAAACAAAAAAAAATCTTGAAGTTCTTTTTGATATAGCTCTGTTAAAGGGGTGCGCTACAGCAATATGATATTGATGTTTAAAAAGGGTTTTAAAAGTTTGGGACTGAGCAAGACAGTAAGAAAAAAAAAAAGAAGTCAAAAATGAATGTAGAAGAAGCTGACATTTCCTGACAGATTGGGTCCACCTCCAAAAACCCTTAATGCAACTCACTAGCATCTTTCCTGCCAGGTAAACGTAAGTTTGGCCTTTTATTGGACAGCAACAGTGAAGAGGCAGACAGGACAGGGGGGGGGGAGAAAAGAGGGGTTAGGACATACAACATAGGCAGTGGTTGCAACCATGCAGCACGCGCTATAACCACTCCACAAACTCCAGCCCTCTGTGTTTAACACAGGCTTTCTGTTGAAGAATTGTCTCCAAGCCCAATCTGATGTACGCTGTACCATCCAAAGAGGAAAATATACACATTGTTCTATAAACAGTGTTATCTGTTGGCCAAAGCATCCCTAAGATATATCTAAGAGATATGCTTATATCAACCGTAGGAAAGGTGTAGTAGAAGCAGTCTAATGCACTCCGGCTACTAGATTTAAGGAGGACTCTCCAATCAATCACTGATGAAAGCATTCTAACATTTAAAGCATTCAAATATTACCATAGTGCATATCTAAACCAAGCTGCAGGCGTGACTTTATTTACAGTCTTCAACCATCTGGGGAGCAGAACTGTTTTTGCCAAATCTCCACAATAGGCTTGACTTTGCTGATGTGTCGGATGGGCGGGGGTGTGGGATCAATGTTACCCTTGGAGAGCTGCCTGGCTTACGGGATACGCAGCACAGAGTGACTGCTAATTCCCAGCAGAACGCCTGGATCCCTCTTGTTCTGACGTTTTAAAGGAGGAGCATTCACTCCAAATCGGTTCGGGACGCCGTCATTCGCATGACAAATAGCCATTAAGCTCAACCAATCACGAGCCCAATAGTGGCAAATGCACACGCTGTGACATAAAAAAAAAAAAAAGAGAGTGAGACATCTCGCTAATTAAAGCGCCAGTTCTGTGCTGGATGTCGACGGGGCCCATTATCAGGCCTAAACACACACACGCCGAGTTTGTGAGTTTTCTTTTTTTTTTTTTTT